TTAAATTGTGAGTCCTGTTCATGGCTATTAAGACATATATGTGTGTGAAGCATGATAGTGTGTTTTATGTGATCAATGTGTTAAATTACATGCCTATTTGAATTTTTGTGAAAATATGTGTTTGATTGATATTACTTCATGCTTTACATGCCAAAAATGCTATGGTTGATAAATTGAGAGCATGATATTTGTTGTGTTAATTTAATCCCAAAGCATGCAAGTATGGTTGTAAATTTGATGTAAGAAAATTCATGTTGGCATATATAATACCCTTAATTTTAAAAGGATAGTTTTGGGATTTATTTATTTATTTTATTGCATTTTAATTGATTATTTGATTTCGTGGCTAATTGTTTATGTGCTTAATTGACTTAATTGTTTAAATTAATTGTGTGCTTAAATGGTGTAATTTTAATTAATTTGTTGGTATGATTTGTTTGCTTAAATGATGTGTATTTATTTGTAATTAAGTGTTAGGATTAAATGATTTAATTGTTTTATTTTATTGTATATTTTAAAGGAGTTGAATTTGGATAGTAGTAATGGACCAACCATTTGAGTCAAATGGACTACTTGGATAGGAGGCTTGATAGGTATGGATAATTATCCATGGATAGTTGTACACATATATATAGGTATATATTTATATAAGGATATTATAATTGTTATTATTATTAATAGTTAGTAATAATAATTATGCATAGTCACTATTATTTATATAATTATAACTTATATATAATATACATATATATGTATATCACGTTAGGAAGACTTATATATATACTTTTTTTTCCTTTTTTTTTTTTTTCTTAGTCATTAGAGTAAGAGTTGGGGAAGGATTAGAGTAGGGTTTTATTATGTAGTATATATATGTTATATAGGTCTGTAAAGGGGGCTTAGTTATTACGTGATTATTTTTTAGAGGCAAAGAAAGAGAGATTTACAGAGAGGGAAAAGAGAGGAAAACGTGAGAGAAGAAAAGAGGGTTTTGGCCAAGGGTTCGAGGCTGAGCCAAGGAAGGAAGAAAGGTTTGCTTGTGGGTTGGACCAGGAGCAGCAGATGACTAAGAAGGCAACTAAGTGGTCACCGGAAAACTGAGGAAGAAGAAGGTTAAGGTTTTCAATCCGAAACCTTAAAGGCAAGTTCTTCTTCTAACTCCTCCCATTTGATCACGTTTTCTATACTTGCTTAGGTTGATTCTAGGATGATTTAACAGTAAGATCGTACTTGTATGCATGCTTAATTGGATTAAAAACATAGAGTATGTTTATGTATTCATGTTTATTTGATTTTGAATTTTCTTGCATGAAAACTTGTTTTAAATTGTTCTAAAGATGTATAATGGCTTTAAATAAATATTTGGGCATATAGAACTTAGTACAGACGCTTAGGACCATTAACAGAGGTGATCGGAGCGTTTTAAAGTCGCTGTAGACGAAAAAGAAGGAGGGCAACAGGGCGAGAGTTGGCTCCCTTCAATTTTTAGCACGACTCTCAGAGCGAGAGCCAGCTCCGTTGTTAGAAAAGATGCAGAATGTGTTTTTGGGGTTCTGTTTTGATATTTGGGGTGTTCCAAGGTTGTTTAGATCGAATTGGGTGATTTAAATGATTGAATTAGATTGGATAAATTCCCAGAATGCATAATATACATTAATATGCTAAGGACTTGGATAATATGAAATTTTAAATAACTTATAAGTTGTTAATGGATGGTTTAATTGCTTAAAATTGTTCTAGCAATTTCAAAGGATATTTATATGATTTAAATCCTGTTTTGGCAGTATAATATGATCATGTATATATATGATTATTATTATGTTTACTTCTGAATTATTTGATGTATAAATATATATGTTGCATCAATTATTGGATTATGTATATTAATGCACCATTGTTAGGATATGGGGGCATATTATGGATGGACTGTCTATTAAGTTAAGTCCCATCTATTCGTGTCAAGCCACAGAACCAGTTGGATTACATGTCATTGAAAGACTATAGCGGATAGTTTAATTTTATGTTTTGGATATGATGGATTTATATATATTTATATGGATATGTGCCACGATATGAGCTTGAGTCTTAAAATCGGTGGTTAGGGAGCGTATATTGCCTGGGATCAAAGCTGGATATAGTGGATAGTTGTGTGTCCTGGTAGATTATAGTACTCATGCCCACTATATGTGCGTTTTGCATGTTGCCTACTGTTTAGGTTGAGACCGCCTTATAGTCCAGTGAGAGTCCTTTAGTGTGTGTGTGTGTGTGTGTGTGTGTGTGTGTGTATATATACGGACTATGTAGTTGTTGTTGAGTTGACTAGGATGTATATGTGTATCGGGTTTCTGTTTGGGATATAGTATAGTAGAACTTGTTCGTGGGCCTGACCTATTATTATTTTTCAGGTGTTCGTCAGGTATAGAGATTGTTCGTGTTGAGCAGAGACTAGTCTACTTCACTCTTCCGATTCTACGTAGAATTCTTCTTTAAATTTCAGTCTTTGGATTTGGTTTTATTTCAGTTATATTTTTAGTTAGGATTTTATTAAGGGTCCACATTATTGATTCCCGAGTTGTAATCTAGATGGTTATTGGTATCAGAGGATTTGAATTATTTAATGGAGGATTTGTTTTAATGGATTATTATTGGAGGATTTATTATTTAGTTTTCTTTCCAGCTTTATTATTTATTTTTATTATCTTTTGTATTCTGCGTTCATTTATTACCTAATTATTTTGATATTCCCTCAGTATCGTGCGTGGACTTGATCGACCCGTGTTTCAGAATCGAGTTGTATCACAGCATGACATTGAAATGCATGTAACATTCATGCATTGACATTGGGTGAAGAAATGGGAATTTGATTTTTCGACTAGGAAGTTAAATTTGAAAAAAAGTGTTAAAAAGGAAGTTTGCAAAAACCGGACGGTAAGAAGTTACCTTGTATTCATGGCGTTAATGGAACCTAGACGAAACGTAGGAGACTGCCCTATGCATAGTTGTGTTACCTAGGTCCCAAATGACGCTAAGAAGTTACCTTAGGTTTGGGATAGTTAGCTAATCCTTCTCTTGTGGCGCCGGGGAGTCACCTCGAGCTGGGTTACATTAACGGTTTGACGTTTATTGCATTGGAAATGATTTTGAAATAAATGGGGACTGACATTAGCATTGCATCTTAAGGCATTCATGGGACTTGGATTGTATGATGATTATTTTTCTCCAAAATAAGCATGACCCTCTTTTCTATATTCTATGCTTTATGTGTGATTCGCGGGATCATCAAGGAGTGCGTACTTGATTAAAAACCCCTGATTAAGGACCGAGGTGACTCCCCTGATTAAAAACCCCTTATTCTATATTTTCTTATTATTATTGTTCAAGTCACGGCAAGGACATAGTTGATTAAGGAACCTCACAAGTGTAGTTATGGTCAATGAATGTATTTTTTATAACCTCTTGTATTCAATGCCTTATACTAGTTATTCTTTTGTAAAAGCATTGTGTTTTGAGGCCTTATGATCCTTGTTATGCAATTATATTCTTTTGGAACTATTATAGTGTAATTCGATCCATGAAATGACAATTGAATGCAAATTGTAGCCATGTTGCTATTTTGTAATGATTTGGGTATAAAATGCTCTATATAATGCTATGTTGATGTTTAAAGTAATGAATGGTTATTTTATGCTTGCTGTGAGTTGTGATAGGGTTTTTCAGGTCAAAATGGCCAAAGGGATAGACGGGAGTAGGTCTCAGGGACAAAAAAGGGAAAGAAACCCATTTTCTGAGGGAGCCTGAGCGTTCGGAGTAGGTGTCCGAGCATTAGGCTGGCATACCTGCGTGCGCAGTGGGGCGCCTTGGGTGTCCTCCGAGAGGGCCAGGCCCAGCGCTCGGTAGTAATGAACTTGCTCTTTTTTTATTTTATTTTATTTTATTTTTTACATTCTTTGATCCATCCGGGCTTCACCATGTGGGTCCTACATGACCTTTAGGATGCACAGGACCCTATGACCGCGTCCGGTCACAAGTAGAATGGCCCAAAAGGTCATTTTTACCCTTTTTAGCCCTAAAACGGGCGACTTCAATCCAATTTGTTTTCCTTCCCTTTCAAATGACCCCAAATGATTAGTTATGACTTAGAAGGCAGTTATAAGGTTCCCGATGCATTGCATTGTCCAAAATGACCAAATTACTCCTATAACCCTAATTGGACCGGTTTAAGATTAAGGTCGATCATTTCATCCATAAGTGAACCATATTAATTTATAATCATTATTATGGTATTACTATCACCTTAGTGTACGGTATTGGTCAAATAGACCATTTTACCATTGAGTTGTTCCGAGTCGGGTTATGACCCGATTAGTGTTTCGGACCCCGGGTTTGGGTCGTTACACACCACCACCACCACATTGCTACCATCACATCTGCCTTCCATCATCGTCGCCACGACCACGGCCGCCTTCCAATACCACAACTATTGCTTTCCACCTCCACCACCATCGTCACCGCCGTCCACCACCGTGCCATTTCTTTTTAAACAATTATATAAGAATGTTATTTGATTAATTTAATTTATTTTTAATAAGATAGATATTTTGAAAATTTTAATTTAAAATTCATTCAATTCTAAATTTTAAATTGCTTCAAACAAATATTAAAATTGTTATTATCATTTCATTCTAACACATTTCATATTTGTAACCAAATAATAGATTGAGAATGATATCATACCATGTGGTGGAGTAAGTCATTAAAATCACCATTAAATTATAAAAAGTGAACAAGAGATTACTACTAGGCATATAATAATAATAATGATGTAAATACCATACTTTTACCATCATCTAGATTTCTCCATTTTTCTTTTTCTTATTTATTTATTTATTTATTAAATTTAGTAACCAAACAAGATTCGATTTGAAATAAATCACAACACAATAAATACATTGCTTTTGTTTTATGTTAAATTGAAAATCGAAAACAGAAAAGATTGCCAAATGGGTTCCAAATAATCATAGACTTATTTATTTTCTACTTTCAAGAGAGAAGGGGAAAAAAAAAAAAAATGGAACATTGTACCATGAATAGAAAAAGGAGCATGCACTTCTCATCATCAGCCCTAGAACATGTTCTCTTTCCTTCTTTCATTATTAATTTCTCCCCTCCATATAGTAGACTTGAAAGGTGAAAAAAAGCCCATTGACTACTCTTGCTTGAAGAAACAACAAATCTTGTGAATGAGAGCCATAGCCTTGTCACTTGTGGGATCAGAAAGATGGAAGCAATGATCCACCCCTTCATTCTCTTCAATCTCCACCTTTCCTCCCCACCCACTCTTTTTCAACCTCTCACAGTATCCCTTCCCCGGCCCATTCAAATGGTCCTTCTCCGCCACAAATATCAACACCTTCTCACACCCTAACCTACCCAGATCCTCTACGGGCGGTTTCATCCTAGGATCGTCAAACCCAGTGTTGGTCGGACACATGTACAGCCACATCGTGTCATCGTACTCCACTCCCCCAAAGTACGGGTGGCAAAGAACCGCCCCGACCAACCTCACTCCGGCGGGTAACCCGATCGACCCGACCCGGAACGCCAGCGTGTGAGAAATGTTCCCTCCCGCACTGTCTCCGGCAAGGAAAACCCGGTTGAAATCGACGTGGTTGTTCAGCCACGGGTCGAGACCGTTCCCGTCGGCGTGGGTCGTGACCCACTTGAGTGCGGTCCAGCAGTCGTCGTAGCAGGCGGGTATCGGGTCCTCCGGCGCCAGCCTGTACTCGACGGAGACGGCGACTACGTTGGCCTGGGCGGAGAGGGTCTTGACGAGGCGGTCGTACGTGGGGGAGAAAGCGGACTCCATGGAGAATCCGCCGCCGTGGACGTAGAGGAGGAGGGGGAGCTTGTGATCCGGATTGGGTAGTTTGGGCAGGAATATCCGGGCGGATACTGGTGGGTCGGTTGATACGACGACGTCTTTGGATTGGACGCCGGTGATCGGGTCGTCGGTGGGTGGGATTTTTTTCGGCGGCCAGAAATGTTTCTCGACCCGACCATCTTTGTATACTTTGAAAAAACGGAATTCGTGAACAACCTCTGAATTGCTTGACTCATCCATGACTCGGACAGAAGACACAATTTTCAGTAAAATAGAAGAAGAATAAATAACGTAAAAGCCCACCTACTCTTCTTATTTTTTTCCAATAAAATAAGTAAGCAGAAAAGTAGATGTGAGCTTGAATTGTTGTTCACATCCCTCCAAATTCTCCTTCTCCCCTATTTTTATATATCATAAAATAAAGGGTAATAATTTGGAAATGTTGTGACCTCAATTATCCAACTTCTTCATATATAGTATGTTAAAGTTTTGAGCAATAGAAGGTTAAGGCTAGACCAGCCGCTGGGTCTCAAGTTGAAATGTAGTGATGTATGTAACTAAGATATCCTGATATACTCGTAGATTTGAACCTTGTTTTTACATGATCTGATCAATTTGATAGGTTGCGTGTTAGATGTATAATTCAATCTCAGGTTGCGTGCTAGATGTACAATTCAATCTCAATTCGATATATAAAATGTTCAACCTTAGCTCAAGTTTAATTCATTTTTGAATTTTTTAAACTCAATTTGCAACTCGAGTTGAGATTTCAGATTAAAAAGTCGGTTAACTCAGGTTATCCATATGATTAATCTCCGGGTTAATTTCACCGACACTCCTTTAAATTTGGCTAAATATCACATTGAATCATCTTTCAAAAATAACTATCACTCGTATGACAAACTTTTGGTACGTTTTTCACTTACATTCCAAAAGTTACTTTTCAAATGTGTCATACCTTTTGCATGTAAAATGACATTATTACCATTCAAACTACATGTTGAATTAAAAAAAAGGTTGAAATGACTTGAATACCCTTTGACTTTCTTTATTCTCATGATTTACACCAACCAAATTATAATTATAAAGTTTATAATTATTTTTTAAAACCAAATTTATAATTATTTTTTAAAACCAACCAAATTGTAATTATAAATTTATAATTATTTTTTAAAATTATAGGGATATATATCATCATGAACAAAAAAAAAAAAAAAAAAAAAAAAAATTAAAAAAAAGAGAGATGAATAGTTTTGGAGGTGACAGAGTAATAGATGAGGGCAATTTGGTTATTTTAGGCTTTTGATATTTCAATTAGGGTAAATTGCAATGACACCCCTACAGGTTTACCTAAAAGACAGATAGATACAACTTAAGTTATTTTTGGACAATGACACCCCACAAGTTTGCAAAGTTAACAATGACACCCCATTCTATAAAAAAGAGCCAAACACAGCCTTAATTGACATAAAATGTCTAATATGCCCTAAGATATATTTTAATTCTCTTATAAATTAACAAACTACCCTTTCCTTATCATTCTCTTTTCAAATTTATTTTTACCAAACACAGATTCTCGTCTATCTCTTTCAACCTTCTCATCCCAGTGGTGGAGGCAAAGGTTGTGAGTGAAGATGCGGTGGTCGGGTGATGGCGGCAAAAGTCGTTGGTGAAGACGCGGTGGTCGGAATAAATAAATAATTATAAACATAATTTTTTTTCATTGAAATTCCCAAACATATACCAGAATGGTGATTATAAATTCTTCATTAAAGTTTATTAAAATGGAAGAATGATGATTAGAATGAGGGGACTAATAGTAAGATTAGAACAGTTAGATCTAAGCCTGGGAATGATAAAGCCAAAAGAGATAATGCCCAAAACATATAGTTAATTAAGATTGCAATGCTGCTGATAACAAAATATAGCAAGGAAAAAAGAAAAAAAGAAAAAAAGAACAAAAGAAAAAGATGGCAAATGGTGCTTAAACTGTAGTGGAGAATTGAGTAGCTAAGCCTAGCCATGACTTGGTTTTAGTAGGCTTGGAAGGAGGAGTAATAGACGAATTGCTTGTATGGTATGACGCTCGAGCCGTAATATTGTAAAAAAGCCAACACAGAAATAACAAGATCAATTTATGATCAATTTCGCCGTCACCACACCCACAACCTTTGCTGTCGCTACCCGACCACCACACCTTCACCTACAACCTTTGCCGCCACCACCCGACCACCGCACTTTCACCCACAACCTTTGCCGCCACCACCAAGATGAGAGGGTTGAAAGAAAAAGATGAGAATCTGTGTTTGGCAAAAATAGGATTGAAAAGAGAAAGATAAGGAGAGGGTAGTTTGGTCATTTTATGAGAGAATTAAAATATATTTTAGGGTATATAGATATTTCATGTCAATCAAGACTGTGCTTGATTCCTTTTTTTATAGAATAGGGTGTCATTGTTCAAGTTTGCAAACCTGGAGGGTTTCATTGTCCAAAAATGGCCTAAGTTATAACTACCTATCTTTTAGACAAACCTGGGGGGTGTTATTGCAATTTACCCTTTGGATTAAAATAGATTTAAAAAATTGGGATAAAATTGTCATTTTGCACAATTTTAACGAAAAAAGTAACGGAAAAGGAAATTGGAGTCCGAGTGATAGTCAATTTCAAAAAATAATTGAGGGTGACATTCGGTTAAACTTGAGGGAATGTCACTGAAATTATCCCATTAATCTCCACATTGAATTTTAAAGTAATCTTTAGTTTCATTAATGCACCCAAAACTAAAACGCTTTTGAAGACTTAAAAGCTCTTTTTAAAAACTAGCCAAACAATATCCAAAGTAACTTTCAAGTTCAAAAAGTCAAAAACAGTGTTTGAAAAGTCAATCCAAACAGGACCTTAGTTTTAGATCATACTACTAAAGCATAAATTTTCTTAAAAACCTTAATACAGATTTTTTAAAAAATTACAAACAAATTCTTAAGATATTAATTCTAAAAACTTTTAACATATAATAAATTAATATTTATATAAATAAAGTTGCAGAGAAAAAGGTGATTATAATTTGTATATTATCTATGACATATTTAAAATAAAAAATTGATATAAAAATAATTTTAGAAGTCGGATTTGAATTCTGATTAAACTTAGGTTGTTGACATCTCAACCCAATGCCAAACTTAATTAAACAAAAGTTAAATATTTTTGTACACAAGTCAAATCCTAATTATAAAATTAACTATTCAAGCTTGTAAAATTGATGGATTAGTCCATGCCAAGAGGAACAATGATATTATTATGGTCGATGCACATGAGATCGCGCACACCTCAATGTTTAGGTAATAACGGCCATTCCCTTAGTAGACTTTGTTTGATGGGCCATTAGTTACTCCACATTGACTAGAGGGAGGATAAATTATACTATCTCCGTCTCTTTTTTAATTGTCTTTTAAGGGAATTAATGTGTTGACATTTTTTGAAATTATCAAATTATCTTTTTTAATTTAAATATATATAGTTACAAAGTTTAATTTTTTTTTAAAAAAATAAAGGACAATGATGAAAATATAAAGAAAAGAAGTTTTAACTTCTCAAAGAGGATAACTAATTTGGGACATGTAAAAAGAGAAAAATGGATTACTAATAAGGGACGGAGGGAGTATTAAAAGTGGACAAGCATGGAATCTCACTTTCTTGAAAAGAAAAAAAAACACGTTGTCAGTGTAGCCTTGTAAATCAAAAGCGGGACATGAAGGATTGAGTAAATACAAAACATTTGACATTTTCTTTATTATTAATGAATAACGAATGAATAAATCTGTTTAAAAGTATTTTTAGTATTCTGTTAAAATATTTTTTTATTTAAAATATACACGGTTTTTATCTCCAACAGTCTATTAAGATACATAGCTACCTCAGAATATTTCATTTCTTCTCCATCTTTCTCTTTCCATTAACTAATCAACTCTATATTGGGTACGTTTATAAAAATTATGTGGGGTTCAAGTATGACATTATTTGGTTGTTATTAGAGAATATATTTTTACACAAAAAATATAAAATAATTGCAAATTTTTTGTTCAAATCGATTATGACAAATCACATTTATACAAAAAAAAAAAACAAATTAGATATGCTCTAAGTTGCACATGTAGAGAAAACCTATTAAATAAAAAAAATACATAAACCATTCCTTAAAAATTACCGAAATAATGGGTGATAAAACCTAATTATCGGTGAGTGATCAGTCCTATTATCGTTGATTTGGTTTAATTATAATTCACAAATGCAAAAATAATTTGTAATTATAAAATTTGAAATGTGATAAATAAGGAAATCGATCCCAATGAATTTATTTCAAAATAAATAAATAAATAAATAAATAATGTATGATTTAGGATTAATGGAATTTTGACAATTTATATGTTATAAATCTTAATTGGTTCTGCTATATTATGTGTTGATGTGTATATTTTGTGCTAATAAATGCAACTTCGACAATGCCAGCTTTGATTATAAGATAAAAGTCATGCATGTAATTATTGAATCTGTAACAAATCAAACAAAAATAAATAAATGTGAAAGATGAACCTACTACCTTTTTGGACAAGACAAACATATGTAAAAGTGAAAGATGAACAAACATTGTTTTGGATGCGAGACTAATTTATATATTATGCTTATTTTCAAACTTTGACCGTTCACTCAAAGTTATCCCGTATTCTAATCTTGATAAATTATATTTTATAGGGTGGGGTAGTTTTAGTTTCCTCTAAAATCTTAAATTAATTAAAGGAATTTAAATAACTAATTGATCACTAACTCAAACCCCCACAATTGTTTTAAAGTCTAAAAATAAATCTAACACATATATGTAAGTGGTTTTCACAGAGAAAGAATGCTTCAAACTGTTGGTTCACAAAATATTCCTTTATCCTTTGAAGCATGTTTCATATTTTAAATTGCCCTATAACATTCATTTATCATTCACACTGTTCGTATGAGACTTTAAACACTCAATCTCCTTTCCAAAAAAAGGGAAAAAAAAGAAAAAAAGAGATCATACCAATGGTAAAAATAAATCAGATATTGATTTCCGGTCTGCTTTGGTTAACTCTACTATTTCGTGCTTATTTATATAAGTATCCATTTGATTATTTTATTATATTGCAAGGTGTGAATTCTTATTGAACAACCACACTTAGGATGATTATCTACTAATATGTCTAAATAATATTACATTATTCTTTAATGAGATCATCACATGAAATAGTTGTGCAAACTTTCTTAATATCATATAAACTTGATACTGATCTGGTTTCTGAACCAGAGAAAATTTCCTTTATGT